TTTTGAACTGTTGTGTTTCATTTTCATTTGTTTCCATGAATTTTTTAAATTCTTCTTTAATTTCCTGGTTGACCCATTCATTCTTCAGTAGGATGCTCTTTAGCCTCCATGAATTTGAGTTCTTTCCAAATTTCCTTTTGTGATAGAGTTCCAGTTTCCAAACATTGTGGTCCAAAATTATGCAGGGAGTGATCCCAATCTTTTGGTACCAGTTGAGACCTGATTTGTGACCCAGTATGTGATCTATTCTGGAGAATGTTCCATGGGCACTAGAGAAGAATGTGTATTCTGTTGCTTTGGAATGCTGGAATATGATGGAATGATGGAATGCTCTGAATATATCTGTGAAGTCCATCTGGTCCAGTGTGTCATTCAAAGCCATTGTTTCCTGGTTGATCTTCTGCTTAGATGATCTGTCCATTGCAGTGAGTGGAGTGTTAAAGTCCCCTACTATTTTTGTATTATTATTGATGTGTTTCTTTAATTTTGTTATTAATTGCTTTATATAATTGGCTGCCTCCATGTTAGGTGCATAAATATTTACAATTGTTAGATCATCTTGTTGGATAGACCCTTTAATTTTGATATAGTGTTCTTCCTCATCTCTTATTACAGTCTTTGGTTTAAAATCTAATTTGTCTGATACAAGGATTGCTACCCCAGCTTTCTTTTGATGTCCATTAGCATGATAAATGGTTTTCCACTTCCTCACTTTCAATCTGGAGGTGTCTTTGGGTCTAAAATGAGTCTCTTGCAGGCAGCATATTGATGGGTCTTGCTTTTTTATCCAATCTGATACCCTGTGTCTTTTCATAGGGGCATTTAGCCCATTTACATTCAGAGTAATTATTGAAAGATATTAATTTAGTGCCATTAAATTACCTGTAAAGTCACTGTTTCTGTATACTGTCTCTGTTCCTTTCTGGTCTATGTTACTTTTGGGCTCTCTCTTCACTTAAAGGATCCCTTTTAATATTTCTTGCAGGACTGGTTTAGTGATCACAAATTCTTTTAGTTTCTGTTTGTTCTGGAAGCTTTTTATCTCTCCCATTTTGAATGCCATTCTAACTGAATAAAGTATTCTTGGTTGCATATTTTTCGCATTTAGCACCCTGAATATATGATGCCACTCCTTTCTGGCTTGCCAGGTCTCTGTGGATAGGTCTGCTGCCAGTCTAATGTTTCCACCCTTGTAGGTTAAGGACTTCTTGTCCTGAGCTGCTTTTAGGATTTTCTCTTTGTCTCTGAGATTTGCAAGTTTCACTATTATATGTTGGGGTGTTGACCTATTTTAATTGATTTTTGAGGGAGTTTCTCTGTGCCTCCTGGACTTGAATGCCTGTTTCCTTCCCCAGATTAGGGAAGTTCTCCACTATAATTTGCTCCAATATACCTTCTGCCCCCCCCTTCTTCTGGGATCCCAGTTATTCTAATATTGTTTTGCTTTATGGTATCACTTATCTCTCGAATTCTCCCTTCGTGATACAGTAGTTGTTTATCTCTCTTTTTCTCAGCTTCTTTATTCTCCATCATTTTGTCTTCTTTATCACTAATTCTCTCTTCTGACTCATTTATCCTAGCAGTTAGAGCCTCCATTTTTTATTGCATTTCATTAATAACCTTTTTAATTTTGACTTGATTAGATTTTAGTTCTTTTATTTATTCAGAAAGGGATTCTCTAGTGTCTTCTATGCTTTTTTCAAGCCCAGCTAATATCTTTATAATCATTATTCTGAACTCTAGTTCCGACATTTTACTTATATCCAGACTGATTAGGTCTCTAGCCATCAGTACTGCCCCTTGTTCTTTTTGAGGTGAGTTTTTCTGTCTTGTCATTCTGTCTTGCAGAAAGCGGTCACTTTTCTATTTGTAGTTTTGAAGCAATTCTTTTCTTAGATCTCTAGTTGAGTTCACAGGTGTTCAGAATGGTTTGATAGCTATTTAGCTGAATTCCTAGGACCAGATGAAACTAAGGTCTCCTACTCCTCCACCATCTTGTCCTCCCCTAATGTCCTTTTAAAGACTACATGGCATATGTCCAGAGCTATTCTGTAGATTCTACAAATCTTGTTTACCACTGAGAATAACATCAGTATATAAAGAAACCAAATGCAAACCGTGACTTTTTCAGTCCAGAATTCATGCTTTTACTATTCTATATCTCAAATACATCCCTTGGCTAAACCCATTAAATTTTTTTTTGTTGTTAGTTGGAGATTCACTCCTTTTTTGTTGTTGTTGTTGTTGTTGTTTTTAAGATTTTATTTATTTGACAGAGAGAGAGAGAGAGCACAAGCAGGGGGAGCAGGAGAGGGAGAAGCAGCCTCCTGGGTGAGTAGGGAGCCCAATGCAGGGACCCCGAGACGCTGAGATCATGACCTGAGCCAAAGGCAGACATTTAACTGACTGAGGCACCCAGGCATCCCTCACTCCTTGGTTTCTTAACTTATAACTACTGTCCTCTCAGACTCTGACCCTTCCCAAATTTCTATCAACTGTCATCTAATATTGAGTGTTTAATTTTTGTTATGCTCAATGCAAAGCACTTTAAATACATTCCCTTCTTTAATCGTCATGGCCAATGAGAGACAGATGCCATTACCAATGTTTCATAGAAAAAGAAACTGAGTTTTAAGAAATTAAGTAGCTTGTTTGGGATGGTAATGGACAGATGGAGAAGACCCATAGCTTCCTGCCTCCCAGGCCTGTGTTCTAACCACTCTGTTAGTCCTCCACTAAGGAAGCTCTGTGCTGAAAGGGCATAATGGGCTTTTTTTCCATCAGTGTCACCAGAGTGATGAATCATTCAGTGTGAGGGCAGTATCAACCACCCGATCTCACAAAATATCTGAAATGTGTATTTCATCGAACATTAGAAACCTCAAGTTCTTACATATTCGGGTGCACTCGTGTCTTGCAACTAGTGACTGAGAGTCATCATTTTTATTGCTTACTGACTTGGGTATCAGCAGACATCTATGGGATCAGACTTTCTTTAAAGAAGTATGAAAAGTTTTATTTACCATGCTTACTTGAATCTATTCCATTCCTTTATAATGCTCTGCTTTAGGAAAGAATCAAGTTTAAATATGATACTTCATAGGCTTAGGGAGTCCAACCAGCTAGCTTGTTGTGTTTATCTATGTTGCATGATAGGCTGTGGCCATGTAACTTACCAGAATGCTGATTCTCGAAGGCCCATCATCGTCATCAATGACTTAATGTATTGTCTTTCTTGGGTAACATTGACTGATACATAGTAAATGAATGCAGAAAAAGAAATAATGCAGAGGAATATGAAAAAATCAGTCGCAACTCCTGCTTGGGCAACAAAAGGTAATATCTTCATATTTATACCAGTAATTGACATCAGCTCTTCCATCACTGAATGATTTGTTGTGATCTAAGGGAAAGTATCAATGAACACATTGTTATCATCACACCAGTTATAACCTCGTGTGTTTTCTCTGTTATAAGAAATTATGTGCATTCCACATTTAAATATATATGTTCATCATAATCTGGCTCCTTGTGTTCCTGAAACACTCCAAGTTCTGTCCTGACTCCTTAGAACATTCCTATTTACCATCTTCACTAGACAAAATTTTACTCATGCTGGAAGGCACAACTGAAATGTTGCTTCAGTTACTCATCTTCCCTGATATTTCTCATCAGAGTGTCTTCTGCTTCATTGTTTGCCTTGCACAGCATGTATAATTCCATGATAGAACCTCAACTTTTATTGTGACTTCATGTCCACATTTCTGTCCCCTCATTATCCAGGATCCCTGGAGAAAAGTACCTGTGTTCTACTTATTTCTTGACCCTCAGTGCTTAGTGTAATGGCTCACATACAGCAGTTGCTCAGTGGATTGTGCCAGATAAATTAAGTGACTCAATTAATTAAATGCTAAGGTAGGGCAATCCATTGTAGCACCATGCATCAAAATGTAATTTACAATGCAATTAGTTTTCTTTAACTTAATACTCACTTCTATGATAGCAGCGTTAATGGCAGCTTGAAAAGCTACAAAGCCTTTCTCCCAGAACACTGAACCTTCACATGTGATTTTTTCATCCATCACTTGACAATGAGCTTTCATAAAAGAAGAACATAACCATTTATGATGGGATGGGACGATCTTGGTATAGGGAAAATCAAAACTTCAAATGTTCCAAAATGCAGTACAAGTCCACAATAATACAGTGTACGGTAGGACTTCTCCGGTGAGGCTTGAAGAGCACACCCAAGAATACACCAGAATTGCTTTATTAATGTTGTTAAGACCAGTTATTAATAATTTTTATTCAATCTATTATTCTCTCAGTTAGCCGAGAATGTTTTTTTGAGCTTTGTTCTTCTGCTGCTTTTGCCAAGAAAGCACTACATTTTTTTAAACATTTGGGAATCAATGAGCAAGAATCTTTCCTTCAGGTTATATTTAGGAGAAGCATAGGAATAATAGCAAATATAATTTCTTGTTGTTGTTGTTTCTTTTTTTTTTTTTTAAGATTTTATTTATAAAACAATACACTTAAGAACACAGGCTTTCTTTAAATAAGAATGAATCTCATTTATGTTCAGGAATTAAGAGTACACCCAGCGTATGTTTGTGTGGACTTCAGGGATCACATGTGCCCTCTAGTGGCTAAGGACATAATAGCCAACAAAAAAACCCTTATAGTAGGAAAGTTACCTGAATGGTCTCTGTGTTCCTTCATCTTGGGGATTCTCCCTCCCCAGAAAAACTTCAAATGATATGAGAAGGTATCATTAAAGATGACTTTCACTGCATCTATAGAGTAGTTTAAATCCAAATCGTCCATACTTTTCTCATCCGGCCACCCCACGATTGTTCTTCCTGCCACGAGAAAGAAAGTAGCTAATAAGTAAGAAGAAAGTAGCTAATAAGTAAGATTTCTATGTGGTACAATGACGGCAGGTCATATTCAATTATGTTAAAGTTCTTTATTCACTAAAGGCAGGGCTGGTCCTAAATAAGAGACTCATACTATGGGGGAGTGTCTAAAATTCTAGATAAAATCAGAGTTAATGTGGCAATCACGTTTATCACAAACAGATTATGCCTTTCCAAATAAGCTTTTAAACCAATGATTTAAAGCATTGAATTTGGAATAATAGCAATACCACTACTATACCACAATACCCCTAGCAATACACAGACCTATCCAAATTTGAACTATATCCTACAATTATAATATGTACTTTCATGTGATAAGGGTGTCAGTGTGGCCAAACCTCCGAAGACAGCATAAAATTGTTAAATTTGGAGAATCTTTTCTCAAGATATCCAAAAAATATCCTGTGAATTAATGACTGTTACTGACCAAACCCGGGCCACTGAAACCACGTAATTCCCTGCAGCCTGGGTTCTGATGGATGCACGCTTCTAGTGCAATTTGACATGTTCCTAATCCCTGCATTTCCTGCAATCTGGCAGTGGCATCCAGAGGCTTCATCAGACTCTGGCTAATCCCTTTGGCAAGACTATATGTGGTGGTGTTTTCTTTCATCAGAGTGTCAGGATTTCTGATGATCTGGTGTTTGGAGATATTATTAGCAGCCATGGACACTTAGTACCTAGATCCATTAACTCAATGGGAGTTTCAAAATGGTGATATTATATTGCCATCATTTGTTTTTTTATTTATTAGTAGAAAACATTTATAAAACAGTACTTTCCAGCATCTGTTTGATTATCCAATAGTACAGTTCATACAGGATAAATACTGGGTATCTTCCCTTTATATACAAATTTTCATAAGAAGAACGATTTTGTACCATCTTCCAAAAGCAATTTTTTTTCTTTTAATACATTATGAAAGCCTGGATTTTATGTATGCATTAGATGAGTTTCATATCATTACACTTACTATTCTTGTTGAAGCTCAAAGTATGCCAACTTAGACCAGTGGGAGTCTCCTCAAGGTGACTGCTGAGTCCCTTTGACAGAACCTATTCATTATCACTGGTTTCCTAGCTTTCGGGAATGACAACATATTTTTAAAAGATTATTTATTTGAGAGACAGAGAGCGTGCAAGCATGGGGGGAGGGGCAGAGGAAGAGGGAGAGAGAGTCTCAAGCAGACTCTGCACTGAGCACAGAGCCTGATGCGGGGCTTGATCCCACAGCCCTGAGATTACTACCTGAGCCAAAACCAAGAGCCGGACGCTCAACCAACTGTGCCAACCAGGTGCCCTGACAATATTCTTTACCCTGTCAATTTCCTGTCCCAGACCTCTGCATCTCCTTTCCTCCAGGACTGAGACTCCTGGATTTCCAAGACACAGGGGTGAGAGAAAAAGACTATTCCATAATTACTTATTTGGTATATCCCACTTTACATATGTAACAGCTTTGGAATAACAGTCCAACACTACCCTACCAGTACAGTAGCCGAAAATGGTTTCAGTTGCTTGCAGATTGGCCTACTCTTCTTTGCAGTGGGTACTGGCTTCCTCTAAAGGGGTTCTTCTCAGGACCATCAGATACCCCACTGCTCCCCTTCACTCTCCCAACACCCCAGAGAGAGATGCCATGTAGACTTGGTGGCTGTTGGTGCTTTTTCCCCATCCACTTATATTGTGGGATTTGGGGAAACACCTTACCACCTAGTTTTGTTGGTAATTATTGCCCATGATTTCTTGACTTAACTGTCTAATTTCTCTCTCAATTTTTTATATATTTGAAGAGATTTAAAAACCATACTGTCAGCACTGTGCAATATTTCCAGAATCTTCTCACTAGCATACATTTGAATAATGTTTCATTTTGATACGGACTATAATGAAGATAATAGGAAATCCTAAAATAAATTTGTATGTTTTGCATATCAGGAAAACACCCAGAACTGCCAGAGAACATACCTTTCATGAATGGGGCTGAAGCCACTTTGTTCATGATCTCCTGGGTTGTTTTGGATTCAGGTGCAAATGCAATCACATAATTAGAATCATTAAAATTATCTACACGTCCCAGATTCATAGCAGGCAATTGAGGGAAGTCATTAACTTGATGTAAATTGGAGGAAAGTCGGTATGCAAACAATACTAGAAGAAATGAGAAAAACCATTCCTACACAGCAATGAGAGAAAAATGAAGCAGATCAATAGCTGCTCATCCACAGATAAATCATCCACAAACAACCTCAAACACGTAGTTTTGTTATGTAGCATGGACCATTTTTTCCTCTCTCCCAGTTTCCCAGTGTTTCCGTTTTCTTTTGTCTTTTGATTAGCATATTTTGAAATATATGCATCATCCATCAAGAGAGAGTTGTGGCATTGATTCCAATTATGATTGAGAGTCTAAGTTTATTGTACTTTAATGTGAGTGTTAGAGGCTAGATTGCTTCAGGAATGACCCAGTGGTTTACAGTCATGCTTGCACCTGAGTGTCGATGATAGAGAAATGTTAGGTGTCATGAAATTGGTTTCCAGCTCTCATCAACAGGAGCAAGGTCCTATTTTTATCTGCTGCTGCTGTATATGAGGAAGAAGATCATCCCAAAATACTGCTCATAAAAAGAATTTTAAAAAATCTTTGTCATCGTGACAACATTCTGAAATTGGAAATGCAACAGAATGCATTTGAAATCTGGTATTAAGAAGAGACCCTATTACACACTTTCGATTCTGAACACCGGGTCTTTAAAAGAGGTACATATCTTATTTACCATCTGATCTTGTTTTAGTATGTGTGTTGCTCTATATCAAGATAGATCAATTGACAGATGTGATGCTTATATTAAAAACAGTTAAAAGGTTGCAAGTAACACGTCTATGTAGGGTAGAATCCAACTTTTATATTTATACTTATATAATCTTTACTCCATGCTGGGATTTTTGTATGCTTTATTTACTGTCAATCCAAGAATTCAATACATATTTGTTGAAACAACACAGACACACACACACAGTGTTCATAAAATGAAATATTAATATACTAACCCTTGAACGATGGGTATTTTATACGTGATTTTAACTTTTTTAATGTATTTTTCTCAATTTACTTAATTTTCTACACAAAGTACATCTGCTCATTCTTATCAGGAGAAACTAAGTATTGTCTTAATAGAAGCAAAAATTCAAAATGCCATTTTCTTTTTCTGTTTATATACCCATTATTTTTTTCAAATTGACATTGTATCCTTAGTACAAGTGTGCAGAAGTGCTACAATTTGTCTTTTGAAGTTTTTTTTTTTTAAATTTTTGATTACTTGCTGGATTAATTCTGGGTTAAATTTGCTTCTTTCTTTGACTTTGACCCTGAACTTTTGTATCTATTCCTTCCTGAGTTTCTTTATTAAAAAAAAAAAAAGATTTTATTTATTTATTTGACAGAGAGAGACACAGTGAGAGAGAGAACACAAGCAGGGTGAGTGGGGGAGGGACAAGCAGGCTCCCCGCTGAGCAGGGAGCCCGATGCGGGGCTCGATCCCAGAACCCCGGGATCATGACCTGAGCCAAAGGTAGACGCTTAACGGCTGAGCCACCCAGGTGCCCCCCTTCATGAGTTTCAAATGAGTTCAGATTTTAAGAATTACTATCTCTGCAATACAAAGCATGGCTTTATTTTTCAGAGAGCTTCTGAATATCAATTATTTAAAGAATGCCTCTAGTCAGACATAAAATAATAATATATTTAAATGACTTTCATTTAAGTTGTAGCAAAGTCCAGAATTTGGAAAATTTTCCAGGCTGTTAGTTAACAATAGAACATATATATGAAACATTAAATAATGAAGATAAACTGTTTGCAGTGTCCCCAAAAAAACATTTTCCTCTTCTAAATATGAGAAGACATAGGCTCTGAGCCATACCAACAAGGTCTCTCTCTTCATCCTCCATTTCTTCAGAAAGTTCTTGCAGAGGAGAGCCCACGTTTGCTGACCCACACTTATGTGCCTCTTGCTCATTCTGACCTGTTTATTTTAAAATAAAGAAGGAAGTAAATGTGAAGGTCTGAAATAGGAAACACTGTGCAATCAAACCAAAAAGAAACATTGTAACAGCTATTTCCAATTGCATGAGTAGGAAAAGGAGCCAGAGGCTAAAAACATAGGAAGGGAAGTTCAAGTTAACTAACAAAATCAATTAGTTTAATCCTCATAATAAACCTTTGGAATAGATCCTATTATTCTCCCCATTTAAAAGATGAGAGATATGAGACACATAGAGGCTGAGTGACTTGCCAAACACAGCTAATGGTGGCAGAATCAGAGCTTTAACTTAGATGACCAAGTTCTAGAGACCTCACTCTTAACCACTGTGACAATGCTGTTTTCAAAATTTGTCTAAGGATTGCGCAGATCAATCCTCCATTTTGTGCAAGATCAGAGATTCTACCAACATCCAGACGGGGTGAGGAGCTCAAGGAGGGATGCACTCAGACTACTTAGCCATGGGCTTTGGTCTGTCCAGTCATTATCAGGAGCCCCCAAATGCTGGAACATAAGGAAAGATTGATTACTCTCAAGAGGCAGAGAAAATATATGATCTTTCAAAAGAAACTTTATTACGATAAACAGAAGAAAAGTTTTCAAGTCTTCCATTTAATGACTATAATAAAATTCAAGAAGAAAGGTAAGAAGAAATGAAAAGCAAATTACATACTTAAAAGTCCCATTGAAGTCAGTAAAGAACATAAGATCTATGATATGGAGAAAAATTTCATAATCTTGCCAAATTTTCAAAGAAAATCAAAACTCATTTAAAAATGATGAGAGAGATAAAAAATACATGAAGTAGAAAGAAAAAAAGTAGGATCAAAAGGAAAGTATTTGGTAAAGAGATACCCCAAAAGAAGAAAAAACAGTTGGGAGAAAAATATACTGAAGAAAGTATATTGTAAAAAGCCCAATGGAAATTAATTTTTCAAGGTAGTTGGAAGACATGTATATTTCCCAAAAAGGCTCTCCAAGTACCAAATAAAATGGCAAAAAAGAATGGTATGTTTAAAATTAAAGGATAGAGGGAAAAGTTAGAATTAAGTTGTCAGGGTAGAGGTGGGGTCGTTCAGAAAGGAAAGAGAAAACAGTTTATAATGGAACAAAAATCAGCCTGATATCTTCAAAGTGGAAGTGAAAAAGTGATTTGCCCATTTTCCTTTGAAAAATCTACCCAAAGGGACAAATACAAAGAACACTGAAGAAATATCTATTTGCAATAAAACTAGAATATAATTTAAACCCAAACCACAGATACTCCCCCACGAAATGTCAGTTAAATTATTAAATTTTGCCTCAAGTTAAGGAATATACACAAAAAAGTTTGACTCTCCTGACCAAAATGTGCATATTAATCAAAGATTGAGAAAATTAACTGAATCTAAAATTATGAAGAAATCCCTGAAAACCACACAATATTCTCTCATTTGAAAGGACCTGCAGGGCTAATGGTCATGGCAGAAGCTTGGCATCTAGTTCCACCTCATGGAATATCAGGGAGGTGATGAGAATGTGCATGAAACAATATCGTTGTTTTGTTCAAGTCCACAGCTGAGATATAGAAGAATGTGGAGTATCTTTACACCAATGGTAAGAAACAACAGTAATCCAGACAAAATTAAAACCATATTTCCCATAGCACGAACAAAAAGCAATAGATGCAAGGAGACCTGATGAACTGAATTCTCAAGAAAGACAAGCCCATGATGGGTGCAAAGAGAGCACCCTTGTAGCTTCCATATCTGGGGCAAGCACCTCTTCTGGGTGTGGGCAAAGAGACAAAGTGCATCCACTGGAAAGGGTATTTGCAAAGATGAGGAGGGAAAAAAAACAAACCTTAGGTGATGTATGGGTGGGATGCAAGAAGTAGAATCGAAAAGAGTCTAAAATGCCAAGAATAAAAAACAGCCTACCCAATTTTTTCTTCACCCTACAGTCATGTTTGATTTTCTCACAAAAACTGAAAGAGGTGAAAAATGTCCTGAAAAATAGAAAGAACCTTTGAAGTTCTGTGCCTTCTCAAGCTGTTTAGATTCTGAGATCTTGCCAGAGTTGGACCCAGTGGTGTGAAGGTGCTCTTTGTTGGAAAAGTATGAGCAGAAAAATATAGTTATTGTGATAAGGTCTGTTGGGTAAAGAGGTATGTGTGGTGTCATTACAGACAAATTTGATTCTTGCAAATCGCGGGCCCCATTTTATTGCCAGTAGAAAAGAGCACCTAAAATAATTTTCAGATTCATGATGTCTGTTACTCCTGCATGCATATGAGTGGATAGGTGGGAGGTAGAAATAGGGAGGAAGGGAACGAACTCATGAATCAGGTAAATTTGCATTTGGAGTTCCTTGAACTGGAACCTCATTCTAATAGTATATTATTGGAGGCAATTTAGGCCTGATGATTTTCAGGTACCATGTTGCTCTGCTGTTCTCAGTGGAACAGTCATCCATTGCCTCCTACTTATGGGCTCAACCTTGGCCTTGGGGGTAATCCACGTTAGGGCTGAAGCTCACAGGGAGAGAGCGCTAGCCTTTAGGCTTACACACAGGTCTACCAGTCAGCCATACTGTCAGTTTCCAATAAGTAGGCCCCGTCATCAGCAACTCTTTATAGAATTGTTTGCAAAGGACATTATAAATAGAGAACCTATATAACAACAACAATTCAGGACTTAGCTGTCTAACAGCCATCAGATGGTCTCTTTCAAACCTAGTGAAGGCAGCAGATTCCAGATATAACCTTCAGTCTGGTAGTTGTAGCATGATGTAATTATTTATATGGTCATCTTAGTGCCGTCCAAGAATTACTAGTGTATCTCCCAGAATGAGTTTCATAATTGAATTGCAAGAAGTCTATCTCATGGGGCGCCTGGGTGGCTCAGTTGTGAAGCGTCTGCCTTCAGCTCAGGTCATGATCTCAGGGTCCTGGGATCGAGCCCCGCATCAGGCTGCCTGCTTGGCGGGAAGCCTGCTTCTCCCTCTCCCACTCCCCCTGCTTGTGTTCCCTCTCTCACTGTGTTTCTCTCTGTCAAATAAATAAAATATTAAAAAAAAAAAAAAAAGAAGTCTATCTCATTATTTTCCCATCAGGAAGAAAAACAAAATTACTCTGAGACTTGTAAAACATAAATGCCCATGAATTATCTTAGTTGATAAGGAAAACATAAGGTGTAATCTTAATGAACAGAATCCAACATTGTAGGAGGGGAATTGGTCCAGGAAATGTTCCAAGCGTTATGGCTTAAGCTTTGGCACAAAGCTTGGAGCACAAGTCAATAAGACCTGGGTTTTGGGGGTCATTGTGTCTTCCTTTGGTGCCATTTTGAAGAGGGTTGCAAACTATAGAATTGCTATTGTCTCTTCCATCATATTACTAATAAGGTTGTTTCTGGCTACTAGATACATGACCTAATGCTGATCTTATCCATGGGGCGAGAGCAAAGCCACGAATATGCTGGTCCCTACTGGTATTCAGGAGGCAGCTCAAATGGGAAGGTCACCAACTCAAGGCAGAGATAAAACCTAATCATTGTGTCTTGCAGGGAATATTGTACATCTGCCATTTCAGTCTGAAAAGCAAGGAATAATTGAAGAGGAATAAGGCAGACAGAAGAATGGTCCCGTTCTAAGCCTGGAACTTGTGAATATATTATATTACATGACGAAGGAGAATTAAGGGAACAGATGGGAGTAAGTTTGCTAACCAACCGACTCTAAGTCAGGGAGATAATCCTGGGTTATCTAGGGGGACCCAATGTAATCACAAGAGTCCTGAAAAGTGGAACAGAGAAGTAAAAAAGGCAGTCAGTGCAAGGTGCTGTTAAAAGGGTCAACCCATTGCTGGCTTTGAAGATGGAGGAAGGCGGGCATAAGCCGAGGAAGGCAGGCAGCCTCTGGAAATGCTAGAAGGCAAGAAAACAGAATTCTCCCTCGCATCCTCCAGAAATGAATCCAAGGTGCCCTGCCGGCACCTTGATTTTCGTCCAGTGAGACTCACATCACACTTCTCACCTCCCAAACTGTAAGATGATAAATCTGTTTTGTTTTCAGCCATGAAGTTCACAGTCATCTGTTACAGCTGCAACAGAAAATTAACACAAGGAGCACAAAAGAAAGCGTGAAGACTGAGAATAAGACAAGGACGAGGGCTTTAGGATGTACAGAGTTGCCTTTATGAGGTACCCACTTGTGGAACAAAAATTGTCCTGAACTGAACAAAGGGATTCAGAAGCTATGCGGCTGAGCTCCTGACCATAGTGCCATCTGAGCAGGCTGTGACGGCCTGGAGACCCCACCTCAAACAAAACCACGACATTACCAATTAAGAAATCAGTGCCCTGCTAAAACATGGTATCTGAGAGAGTTAAATATGTCGCCTACGTGCCTACTCTCCTTTCTTTCTGTGGAGGAATGCATGTGCTAGAAAGTATTATTGATGACTACAGAAGAATTAACATGATCTGTCACGATTGTGGTTATTTATTTCTGTTAAGACTGATTTTTTTTTCCCCCACTACACATCCTGATGTAAATGTCAGGGAGAAAAATTACTATTCACCAGAGGAGCACAAAACATCTAACTAGCTTAAATTGCTCTGAATAGGAAGTCGTGTGATCTAGAAATAAAAATGTGGCTATAAAAAGCCAGTCACTCCCCGCCAGATAGAATTCCTTGTATTCAGAAAATAAACACATTGCACAACAAATTAGATCAAGATTCCTATAAATGTAGTATGATAAATAAGGTCAATAAAAATATTGCCCTAAGTTTTCTTGATGAAAATGTTCTCAAGCCAGTTAAAACAATACAAAACTCAGAAAATCATGTGTCTCCAACTCACCCTCCCCCAGTGCTTACAAATCCTCTAGCAGTAAAAGTGAAAACAAACAAGAAAGAATAACTAATTCTATTCACTTGGGAAACAGCCCATCATACTTGCAAAGAAGCAACATAAAGTTATATTCTTTTCAAT